GTCAGACATCCCTGCCGTGTGCAGCCAGCGGGTTCTGTGAATGTTGGAAATATAGTTGAATGATTGACCAATAATAAGCACAGCTCTGCTGGAAGCTTTCAAAAGTGCCATCTTAGTAGCCAATAATGCTGGTAGAGAAGGGTTATGAGAGGATCTCTCCCTCTCTGCCTTATCGAACATAAGCAGAAGGGGTCAACAGCGTCCACAATCTTTAACTGTATATTGCGAAATGTCTGATCCATGAGATCCCCAGAAACACTGCTACCTGTAATGGATAACAGTGCTGGATCAATTTCAGGAGCCATTGTCACGGTTCTCACCGTGACATCCAGACGGCCAGATGTGGTCGCCCCAGAAGTTCCCAAGAGGGAATTTGAATCTGAGTACTTTGCCTTCCTGGGCCTGCTTTCCTGCCTTTAAGCCACAGCAGTTCCTATTCCTTTGAGTATTTCTATCCCTTATCTACTTGGCTATGTCTCCAGCACTGGGGGCTGGGCTTTTTCTGTGGCATCTCCTGTCAATCTTGGTCCACCTGAAGCATATCGCTGATTAGCCAGATATAAAACACTGCTTCTCTCTGAGGGCAGTGTTAGTTCATTGACTCTGGTTCCTGTTATTGTGTATCTTGATCCAGTGTCTCCAGACGGCTTTCAACCTTGGCTTATTTCTTCATTTACTCTGACTTCTGACTTCAGCTTTCCATGACTACTCTTCTGCTTGTCCTTGCTTGCCTGTACTGCATCTTGGAGCAATATTCCTGCACAGTCCCTGTGCACAGACTCACAGCCCAGGGGGCTTCTTACCTTGACACTTTGGTCTGTGTTTATTTGCAAGGGTGAGCATATAACTCTGCACGTCGGACTCCACATCAGGTAAGATACTGACATAATGAACTGACCATGGAGTCCGCAGAGATATACTGATCACCTCCCTTGCTCAGCAAGTGACCAACCTGTTCCAGACTGTTCAGGAGGTGCAGAAGGATATATTGGCATTTAAAGGAATGGTACCCCAAACCCTGTAACCTGCATATTTAGAACCCTTTGTGATAATGCTTGAATGATTTGATGGTTCCTGTTCCTCCTACACAGCATTCAAAATGGATTGCAAACTCCTGTTTGCCATTAAGCCTATTACAGCAACTTTGTCAAGGTTCGTACTGCTATTTATTTACTTTCCAGATGGATTAAAGAGTGGGCATATCAGATACTAGAAAAAAGAGATGCTGCCTTGGACACCTGAGAGTCGTGTATTACCGTGATATACTTACAGTGAGCTGCTACCAAACCTGCTCCAAATTCCCGCAGATCTAGAGTACCAATAGAGGAGAGAAGCCTATATGAATACAATGATTCCATCTTGCCACAACGCAAGCCTACCTTCAAGGACCTGCCTTATCTCCCTAACTGCACCCAAGTAAGCCGTGAAACTCCAGTGGACAGGGGGAACCCATGGAGATCAGCTTTATCCAAACTAGGTTGCATCCTGAGGAAAGAGACCATAGGAGAGTCCATGGACTGTGTTTCTATTGTTGAGAAAGAGGGCACATCGTCTCTCTCTGCCCAAGTCATCCACCTAGGCCAAAAGCTCTTCTATTGGGCAACCCATGCCAGCAACACAGCCTGGAAACTGCCAAGGTTGCTGCCAGCCCTGTCCTCGTTTTGTGATGCAAACGGGTAGCCAGATTACGGCAGTCAATGTTACCAGTGTCCCTCAAGAACCCGCAACCAGTACCCCTGAGAAATCGCCACGTCCTGCTCCAGAAACGTACTTCTTCCTGAAGACATTCCTATCAAAGCAAGCACCATCACCACTATCTGCCTTGCCAAGAAAGTTCTGTCACCTGACTGCACATTGCAAGCTGCGAATGCCTCCCCTGTGAGAACTACTAAAGCAAAGGCTACTGTGGGTGCAATGTTACCCAAAAATCTGAAAGAAGGCCGTACATATGGCATGGATGCATATGGAAGAACATACCTCCAGCCAGATAACGTTTTTGACGTTTTAAACAAAGAGGGTGATTCTGACCTGGAAGACCTCTACAAAGAACCCGTTCATGCCCAGAAGGCGTTCTTAAAGAGGGGGGGTACTGTCACAGTTCTCACCATGACATTCAGATGGCCAGACATGGTCGCCCCAGAAGTGCCCAACAGGGGATTTGAACCTTGGCCTGCTGTACCACCTTTAAGCCACAGCAGTTCCAATTTCTTGGAGTATTTCTAGCCCTGTTCTACCTGGCTATGTCTCCAGTACTCAGGGATGGACTTTTCCTGTGGCTGCTCCTGTCAATCTCGGTCCACCTGAAGCATATCGCTAATTATTCAGGTATAAAACACTGCCTCTCTCTGAGGGCAGTGTCAGTTCATTGACTCTGGTTCCTGTTATTGTGTATCTTGAACCGATGTTCTCCAGACGACTTCCTGCCATGGCTTATTTCTTCGTTTACTCTGACCTCTGGCTTCCCCTGACTTCGGCTTTCCACATATACTCTTATGCTTGTCCTTGCTTGTACTGCGTCTTGGAGCAATATTCCTGCACAGACTCACAGCCCAGGGGGCTTCTTACCTTGACACCTTGGTCTGTGTTTATTTGCAAGAGTGAGCGTATAACTCTGCACGTCGGAACTCCACATCAGGTAAGATCCTTTATGTCAGGGATACCAGTATGGTTTCTAAGGAGGAGATCATCCTCTTTAACTAGCGGGGTCTTAAAGCTAGCTTGTCAAAATCCTTGACTTCTTACTCTTGCTCGATGGCCCATCTGGAATGGAACACTTTTGAAGGGTGCACTTTGCCTAAAAGGCTCACCCTGGCCATCTGAATGTTGCTCAACTTCCCTCGTTCAGTGGAAGCTGCAGAGCGAACCACCTCCTCAGATTCCCAATCAGTTTTAGGTGATCCCTGTCTGCAACAGGACCGGCTTAGTGAGGATGAATGAGAAAACGCTCTTGAGGAGGATGGTGAGGGACTCACAGCATGCAAACGAGATTCATCCCTTTTGTGTGAAAAGTGCTTAGAAACCTCAAATGAGGGAACACATTTGGCTTTTGGAGGTACTGTCCCTTTAAATAGTCGACTACTCAAACGAGAGTGAGGGGAAGAGGGACCAAAATCATGTTCATCATCAGAACTTGAATAAGATGAAAGGTATCCCTTCTTTTTTCTTTTACAGTTGACTGGGACCATATCCTCCTCAGAAGATAAACTGGCAAGGAAGGCTCTCTTAAGGAGCCTTCTAACATTGATGGCAGACACAGAAATGGAATCCTCCATCAACGTTGCCATTTTAAAATCTGAGGTGATCAGGGCTGCCGCAAGCTGTATGGCTGTCCTGATCACCTGATTGGTTAGAAACGCTATTGCTGTGCAATAGCATGAGTGTTTTTAGCACAGCAGAACATTTCTCTGGGAAGCTTTGCTAGGTGGTTATGCCTCCCGGATCGGGACAAATAATAGAGGTAGTGTTAGGGTAAGTGCTAAAGTTGTGATAGGGAAAATGCTGTTTTGAGGTTTGGTGTAAGGTTAGGGCACTTATACAGTTAGAGTAGTACTAAGCATTTGGTCAGGGGTAGAGCTGATGTAGTGTTAGAGGGGATCGGTATACAGTTAGCATTAACTACCAATCATTAATTTGGATCGCTGACATATTAGGAATTTTACAATTAAGATTCATACTTTAATCTATTTTGAGTTGTTTATATTTAGTTGCACTGGATTAGTGATGTCCCGAACGGTTTGCCAAATGGTTCGCCGAACGGTTCGCTGCGGACGGCGAACATAAACATAAACTTTGACCCTGTACCTCACAGTCAGCAGACACATTCCAGCCAATCAGCAGCAGACCCTCCCTCCCAAACCCTCCCACCTCCTGGACAGCTCACTAAGAATGCAGCTTCACAATGAATGTAAAATGGATGCTGTCAAGGAGGTGGGAGGGTCTGAGAGGGAGGGTCTGCTGCTGATTGGCTGGAATGTGTCTGCTGACTCTGAGGTACAGGGTCAAAGTTTATGTTTATGTTCGCCGTCCGCAGAGAACCGTTCGGAGAACCGTTCGGGACATCACTACACTGGATGTGTAAAATTATAAGGATTTTTTTTAAAAATCCCCATTTTCAACATTTTATTCACACTTTATATATTATTGGAGGGGTCTGACTCCCATCGATACAAGCCAACATTTGCACTTTAAAGAGGACTCTCTATCTGATATTTTTCAGCACTACCTTTGCTGACTCGGGACGCCGAGTATTTCAAATAAGGTCTGGACTTTTTGCATGGCTTTTTTCTAAATAGATTAACTATTTTTAACAGATGTTATTTTCTTTTTAAATTTATCTGTATATTAATCAATAAATTGAGTTTTAACTTATTTTGAGTGTGCCAGTAAGGTTACTAATTATGAGTTATTAGAAGAGAAAGGTACTTTTATTTTTTCTATTTGTCTTACACTTTATATATTGTTAGGTATACATATAGGATATTAAAAGAAATCCATTTATCTTTTAAAAATATATATAACGTATGAGGGCACTTAAAGAGAAATCCTTAAATTATGTTGGAACAAATACATAGCACAACTTCTGGGTTTAATTTTGGTTCAGAACTTATACAATTGTCTCTGTTCTAAAGGGGTTAACAAAGTTCCTATTCTTTAACTTGACTATTGGGGTGAAAACACTTCTAGTGGCTGTCAGGAAGACCGCTACTAGAGACATGCTACCCATGCAATGAAAACTTTGTCATTCTGCAAAATGACAATGCTTTCAGTTGCAGGGTTAAAACTACAGGGACTAGGAACCAAGACTGCTTTATTAAAATTAAGTGGTGTGGGTGTCTATAGCAGTAATTGCTAGCCTTGACACCATAAATTGTTTCTGAACTAGATTTCCCATGATGCTCAGCTGGCTTTTAGGCTCTAAAAGCTAGCTGAGCATTATGGGGAATGTAGTCCAGAAACAATTTATGGTGTCAAGGTTAGCCATCACTGGTCTATAGTGTCCTTTTAATATACTATACCTCAGTGGCGGATCCAGAGCCTGATCTCGGGAGGGGCACTTGTAGATTATTTAAATAAATAATCCAGGCACAATAACCACTACAGCTCAGTGTAGTAGTTATGGTGTCAGTAGTGCCAGGATTCCACCCCAGAGTAAGTAGTCATACCGTTTAAGAACAGTTTGACAACTTACCTGGGGTCTGCTGGGATATAGGGTATAGGAGCAGTGGTGTGTGTTAAGGGTGAAGTGTGTGAGTGCGGCAGTGTATGTCAGGGACAGTGTTTGTGGGGCAGTGTGTGTATGGGGACAGTGTTTGTGGGGCAGTGTGTGCGTATGGGGGCAGTGTGTGTATTGGGACAGTGTTTGTGGGGCAGTGTGTGTATGGGGGGCAGTGTGTGTATGGGGATAGTGTTTGTGGGGCAGTGTGTGTATGGGGACAGTGTGTGTATGGGGGACAGTGTTTGTGGGGCAGTGTGTGTATGGGGACAGTGTGTGTATGGGGACAGTGTGTTATGGGGACAATGTTTGTGGGGAAGTGTGTGTATGGGGGCAGTGTGTGTGTATGGGGACAGTGTTTGTGGGGCAGTGTGTGTAT